CTGGGGTGTTTCTTTCCTATACATTATCAATTTTTCAGTGACCTTATGATTATAATGTATAACAAAAATTGAAAAATTGTCTGATATTTCTAAATAAAGTAGGCCACTAGTAAAACTTTTGTCAAAAATATTTGAAAATATTTAATCGATCAAAGTCGAAAAATGATGATCAATTCTTGTAGGTTTTTTAATATGGGGGTAACAAGCGTTGGAATAAATGGCATTAAGACATTTCGGGGAATTACTATTATTCGATAAAAGATAGATATTAAAATCACCCATTAACAACAAAATTCTTATTTTTCGAGAGAGAGAGTAGTTTCAAGTTTTCAAGTTTTATTTCATCATTCTATTTTATTTTCTATCTCTCCTTATGTTATTCTTCGTTTTCGTCTTTCTATCTTCCTCTCTTTTTATGTTTCCTTATGTTATTTTTGTTTTTATCCTATCATTTCCTATTTCTAACATAATGAATAAAGACAGAGAAAATGATAAAATAAAATAATAAGATTTGACACGTCTGCTTACTATAATGCTGGCCCCTCCAGTGATAGAAAAAAACCTTTTCACACCGGAAAAATGCGCCCTCTTTTTGCTGCCTAATTATGTCCTCAGGGACGGATCTACGGGGGGGGGGGAGGGTTTGGGTTTAGGAGGTTTAACCCCCCCCCCCTGGACTGCCAAGTGAAAATGTGATGTGCATATAAAAACGCCATCAAATGCCTAAAACTCGTAAACTTGCCATTGCTCCGCCCACCTGGAACCCACTAGGGGCCCTAAGGCAGGCCCCTGGATGCTCATCTGACCATAATTAAAATGCTTAAAACCCATGAGCTTCCTGGGGCTCCGCCCCTTAACCCTTGTCGGGCTTTGCAATTGGACCCCACCACTCTACCTAATCGTAAATAATTAGCCCCCCCCCCCCACTTTGAAAAACGTTCCGCGGGGCCTGCATGAAACATGTAAAAGTAGTGGTGATGCGAAATTTGTCTCTCCCCCCCCCCCCAACGCTATTGCTCGTTACGCCACTGACCGTGATACCAACGGAATACAGATTTTCCCTCTCATTTCGTCCCCCCCCCCGGTCGTGAAAAAAAAAATCGCCCCCTACCTGGGGGGGGGGGGGGGGGGGTCAAAATAGCCACACACACAACAACAACAAATCGCCTCGCCGCTATGCGGCTCGTGGACGATGCTCCGCATGTTAATATAGATCCTAGGAAAACATCACTTACGGGGGTTCAAGATAGCCACACAAAAAAAAATCGCCTCGCCGCAACGCGGCTCGTGATGATGTTCCGCATGTTCAGTGGCGGATTTAGGGGGGGGGCACAGGGGGGCATGTGCCCCCTCCCCCCTCCGGTAAAAAAAAAAGGAGGTGAAGGGGGAAGGGGGGAAAAGAAAAAGGGAGAAAAGGAGGGGGAAACAAAAAGGAGGGGAAAAAGAAAGAAAAGGGAAAAGAGAAAGAAGAAGAAAAGAGGGAGGAGAGAAAAGGCGGAAAAGGAAGAAAGTGGGAAAGACGGTGGAGAGAAAAGGGGGAGAGGAGAATAATGAGAAGGGAAAAGAAAGAAAGGGGGGATGATATTATATGAAGGTTTTTTTTTTGTTAACGGGAAAGGAGCTGGGGTGGGGGCATAATATGGTGTCCTTCTTGCCAGGCGTGAAGCACCTCCCACCCCCCCCCCCCAAAAAAAAAAAAACACAAAAAGCATTAAAAGCACAAGAAGAACAAAAAAGTTAAAGGAGAAAGAAAAAATAAATAAAAGAGAATTAAATAATTATTAAATAATAATAATCTGAATTCAGACTTGGAATGAGAGTCAAGAACGGTACAACAAATCGTCTATTTTTTTCTAATAATTTAATTAAACAGGAAAGCTTCCGCGCTTCGCTTTAGACAAGGATTAAGAGTAATAATTAATGAAACGTCAAAGCTTCGCGCGGAGAAACTGAATTCAGACATGGATTAAGAGTCGAAAACGGAACAACGAATCGTCTTCTTTCTCTAATGATTTAAGGAAACGTCAAAGCTTCCGCGCTTTGCGCGGGAGGGGGGGGGGGTAACTGAATTCAGACAAGGATTAAGAGTCGAGAACAGTGAAACGAATCGTCTTCTTTCTCTAATAATTAAATGAAACTTTATAGCTTCTGCGCTTTGCGCGGGAGGGGCGAAACAAAAATTAAGAGTCGGGAACGGTACAACGAATCGTCTTCTTTCTCTAATAATTTAGTGAAGTGTACAAAGCTTCCGCGCTTTGCGCGGGAGGGGGGGGGGGTAGTCTGCAAGCAAAAACCCTGGTCAGTCGTAAAAGAGAGTCTGCACTGTAAGACTACCATAGGTCATGTACTATAGCTGCTCCTGACACAACCAGTAGGTAGCTGGGCTAGGCTTCTCTCAAGGCACAATGTTGTTTGATAAAGTGTCAAATTAGGGTCTGTGCTTGCTGACTAGGAGGGGGGGGGGGGGGGACTGAATAATATAGTTCCTGCCCCGGGTTTTTAGGGTTAAATAATATTGGGACATTGGCATTAATATATTTGTCGGTAATTGGTGGCTAGTTTTATCGGTTATAGGTGGGCTCTACACTCCCCCCCCCCCCGGCTGAAAAAGGTCGAGCGACGCCCCTGATAACCAGGGCCGTAGCCAGAGTTTGATGTTTTTTTTTATTTTTTAATTTTTAATTTTTTTTTTTTTTGGGGGGGGGGGGCACGTGCCCCCTCTCCCCCCTCCCGTGGCTACGTGCCTGCTGATAACAACACAGTCTATATACACTCGAGATCATTTTTTGCCACGTGCATTGTGCATCAACGAAGCATACACAACGTCTCGCGACTTGACAGATCACTACTTCTAAAAAATCAGAATGCATCGTTTTTTCCAGGAAGTACCGGTGGACATTAATGCGCTAAATGTGATTCTCAAATTGCAAAGGATTCCTACTCATGGATGAGGTAGGAGAAAGCAATTTTTTGACGTCATTTTACTCTAGGAAGTGCCTGAAAATGCGCCTAATGTGGTTCTAAAATTACAAATGCTTCCTAATCGGAGAGGGGGTTGTGACCCCCTCCCAAACCCATCCCCCGCTAGGTCGCTCAGCTCCCTTGCCGCTGACGCCTCGCTCCATCGTTTTTCATATATTTCACCCCCATGCAATTTTGTGCCCACCGGTTAGAAATTCCTGGATCCGCCACTGATGTTAGTAGGCCTAGATGACAGGAAAACATCTCTTACGAGGGTTCAAAATAGCCCCCCCCCCAAAAAAAAAAAAAAATATTGCCTCGCCGCTTCGCGCTTCGTGGAAGATGATTGGGTCAATCCCCCCCCCCCCCCTCTTGGCGAAAAGCTAGATCCGCCCCTGAACAATATATTCCTCCCCTCTGACAAGCTAATAGAGACACATCCCAGAAGCACCACTCCATGGGGCTGGGCTGCATGTCTCGGCCTTCTGAATTCCTTTTAGTGTTCGGTTGTATAGAAAGCTTTTTTTCATTTTTGGAATTATGAACCCTTTTTCATTTTCGGAATTATGAACCCTCTTTCATTTTCGGAGCTACGGAATTATGAACCTTCAGAAATACGAACCTTCGGAAAAACGACCTTTTACCTGTGAAAGAGAGAGAGAGAGAGAGGGGGGGGGGGGGGGGTTGAGGTTGTACTCAGATTTGATTTGGACGCAGGTGTGCCGCTGAAGCCTCGAAACCCCTACCCAATTATAAGGATCATTTGAGGGGTATGTTCCTCGAAGTAAAGCCCATTTTTTTTTGAAATTTTCGGGTATATGCAAACACCCGGGGAAAATAAAATTTTTGAAATTTTGAAAAAAAGGACCCATGTTTAGGCCGGGTATTTTAATTAAAAATGGGACCCATGTAGAGTGCCGCTCAAGCCTCGAAACCCCTACCCATTATTAGAGGCCATTTAAAGTCGTTTTTCTCGAATAAGACCAATATTTCACAATTTTTGGGTGTTCCCAAAACTCGAAATTAAAAAAAACCGGACCCATTTTAAATGATATTTTTGTTAAAGGTAAAGACCAGTTATGGTCATGCAATTGCATTTTGAAGGAAACGTTGTGAAATCGATCAGAAAAGGTTGATCACCTAGCATCTAGCATCTGCAAGGTTCTGGAATCATCAAAATGATAAGAAATTTGGCCTATTCTTCGTAAAGTTACAAGCACTATACACAGAAAAATGTATATGGGACTACCCTATATCTCTCACAGACCATGAGAGAAACAAATTTACCAAATTTATGAATTATTAGGCGGTTTCCCGGCAAATTTTTTATCATCATGTATTATTCAAAACATATTCGTTCACATGATTGGTAATGGGAGCTTCCATTTCATTTTTTGAAATTGGGGCGTTTCCAATACTGGTCTTTACCTTTAAAAGTGGAACCCGTGTTTACGGATTTTTTGTGAAAATTTACCCATTAGAGCGGCACATCCACGCGTATGTCCCCCCGGAATTAAAGCGGCACACCCATGAGTACTAGATCGCACAAGATCTGTTTTGGAAAAGGGTGCGAAAATCAACCTTTCATGAAAAAGAAATACGGAAACATTGTGTCGCGACCATAAACTATATAAAGGAAGGTAGCGACCGATCTCTCAAAAGAAATTAAAAAAAGTAATTCCTTGGACTTCTAGGATGCAGTGTATATGTATATAACAACGAAACAAAATGTTTGAACAAATACAATTATTTATTAAACGCTATACTTTGTTGCTGGATATGGCACCCCCCCCCCCCCCCCCCCCCCCCGCACCCATCCCAACTCCGGATTGGTTTGACTTTGAGATTGGTTTTACTAACAGTATGTGTCAACTTCATATATTCTGCGCCTGCGAAATTTTGTTTGTAATATTTTAATGAGAAACAGAATTCCCGGGCAAATTTTCCTTGACAAATAGTGATTTTCACCTCTTTTTGTTGATGGCGCGGCTCGATCGCGGCTCCTTGCGCACACAACATACACAGTTCGGTACGCGCGGTGTTAGGATTCACGTACAGGTGCACGGACGCTCGAATCGTCGACCAAATTGAAAATCGAGAACTCAATGATCCATCCTCCTTGCAAAATTGCATGATTCTCTCAGAGCTACCGTATACGTTAGGCCGTCATGAGTCAACAACCGGTAAGGAAATTTACAGTCCCTATATATTACAAAAGCTTGAATAATAATTTATGTTTTGAGCAATCTGGGTTAACGCAGTCCCGCACCTTGAAATGTGTGTAATGCCCTGGCCTGGTCTAGACCGAATGCTTCAGTCCCAGACGTAGACGGTCGCGATCTAGACCGAAAGCTTCAGTCTCTATAATCGTCGGTTGTTCCACTGAGACTACGTCTGGCTCCACTATACCTCCGGTTATAGAGACTAAACGATCGCCTATGCCAGCCTATGTTGAAGATATCACGGCTAGATTTTAGCCGTTAGGCCCCTCCCACAAACATGAACAAACTTGCCACGGCCTAACTCCGGGAAGCGTTATTTTTTTATGCGGCACAGATTGGGGCATGGCGCGTGTTAAACCTATGGGAAGTACGTTCTTTCCCTTCTGAATAGTGTCTGCACGTACGTGAGACTATTCATGTTCGCTAGCGCATTAGCGCTGCGAAGAAGTTTGTATATCCATCGCGAACTACGTGTTTAGATAACATTCTTTTTCGTTTAAGTTAGTTAAGTTTTATTGACTAATTATTGTTATTTTCTCTTTATTGACGTGCTGCCTCCTCTTCAGATTTCCAATTTGATTTTAATTGTTGATGTAATGATTTTCCATGCGGTAGTGGATTACATGTAACACTATTAAAAACAGACCTCTACTACTTATACTGTCTAGTACGCACACGACCAGTATTAGTCTGTAAATCAAGACCCCTTTTAAAAAAAAGCCCCAATCTGTGCCGCATAAAAAAATAACGCCTCCGGGAAGCTCCAACACCGTATGTATGTGTATGTACTAGATTTAGGAAATCCGACGCCTGCGGCGCCGGTGTTGGAGCTTCCCGGAGTTAGCCACGGCCGTATTGTTATGCCCCCAAAATCCCCCAAAAATACCTCGTGCATATCCAATTTTACATTAGGCCTAGATCTAGGCTATAAGTATAATACATGGGTTCCACTTACTAACTTGATTGAAATAATCTGTTTAATGGTCCCTTTTAAGGAAATTATGGGTCAAAATCGACATCCACGTTGAAAATCTTGCAAGCCGTGTTAAACTCTCGCTGCCGTCAATCTCATTCCTTCTAGTCTACGCCGAAGGCAAAATGATTATGAAGGAAAAACTGTGCGCCATCTACACGTTCGTAATGGCGTTATCACAGTTTTTCCTTCATAATCATTTTTGCCTTCGGCGTAGACTAGAAGGGATGAGATTGACGGCAGTAGAAAAAGTCAGAGCGAACGTGCTTTTCAGAAGCTCTCTAGGAGCTTGTAGATTTCTTGTAGAATTCTGCCAATATTGTTAAAAATTGCCTCAATACCGGATATTTTGGGACTGTTTTGCTTCTTTATACTGTTGAACTTTGGATTGAAACTATAGTGGATTCATACAAGCCTATACTTAGGATCAGAGTCAAAAGGTAAGCAAGTCTTGTGGGCTACTAACACATACCGCACCCTTAATTACACGGTAGACTGCACACAATTGAATTTCCCGCCCTTTTCAGGCAACCAACCACGTCATGGCCGGAGTGACAAACACCGGCCAGGGCGAAGAGCCACCTCTTTTACAACCCAATGAAGAAGATGAATTTCGAACTGTAAAATACTCTCATAGGGAGCAAAAACCGAGAAATAAACGCAGGCGCGAAGGAAGCATTGCAATTGAAAATCTTTCAATGAGAACAGAATCCTCTTCCTCAGAAGACCAAAATACAACCCAGAACCGCCAATCGGAACTCAAAGTCTTAATTACCCCCATAGATAAATCAAAATCGCTAAAGAATGTGAATCCCATTACTATAGCTAGAAATATCCGTGAAGCTTGTCCGAACCCGGTGGAATTTATCAAACCCACAGCCCAAGGTCTCCTTATCAAATGCAAAAACCAGAAACAAGTAAAAGCACTATCTCAAATTAGTAACATAGGAACCACCCCAGTAAAAGTTGCAGAAAAGCAGCAAGTTGTGAGAGGGGTCATATATGGAGTACCTACAGAAATGACTGATGACGAAATTCTCAATGAATTGAAACACCAAGGAGTAATTGATGTAAAAAGAATCATGAAAAGGTCCAAATCAAATGTAAAATCAATTGAAATTGAAGAAAGCAGACCCAATTTTATCCCAATGAGGAGTGTTATTATAGCATTCAACCGTACAAACCTCCCCAGCAACATAACAATGTGCTATCAACATTTTGAGGTTAAACTATACATTCCCCCCGTTTTGAGGTGCTTTCAATGCCAACGCTACGGCCACGGCATAGCTCAATGCAGAGCAAAGATGAGATGCGTCAGATGCGGGGAAGACCACAAATTTTAGGAATGTAACCGAAAAGAAAGACCGATATGTATAAATTGTGGTGGGAACCATTCAGCAGCCTTTGACGGCTGTCTTGAAGCTAAGAAAGCCAAAAAGATACAAATAGTAAAAGTCAAAAACAATCTTTCATACGCACAAGCTGCAAAAATACAGTCGGAGCAAGAAAAAGCACAGCAGAAACCACAAGCCAACCTCCCTGAATCACATCCCTCCCTCGATGTCAACTCAGATAACCTCCCTCTTCCTCCCCGACCAGTGAGGTCATCCACAGCAATCCGCCCTGAAAACGCCACCCTGCAACTTGATCCCCAGCCCTGGAACACCCCGCTGCAAAAAAACGCACAGAGCAGTAAATTAATAGATAAGGATGGAAAAACTGAAGTAGAACTAGAAGCCCTCCCTCGAGGTAACCTAGTAACATTAATGAGTGATGAGCAAATAATCTCCTTCATTACGCAACTTGTTCTCACTTTTACGGATGGAAAATCCGAGAAGGAGATTTCATCCTTAGTGAAAGTGGCAGCTGAGAGACTGCTCAAACAAAGAGTAAAACATGACGCTAAAGATGTACTGGTATAGCATAGTAATGATGATGACAGCGCTAACCATATTACAATGGAACGCGCAGGGACTTCTTAATCACGGTCCTGAACTTATAAAATACTTAGATTCATATAAAGATGTAAAGTACCATTTAATTTGTGTTCAGGAAACATGGTTCAATGATGATAGAATATTGCAAATCCCTGAATATACATGTTTTATTAGAAACAGGGAAAATCAATCTAAAGGAGGGTGTGCCATTTATGTACATGATTCCATCAACTATGAATATCCTGTCAATGACGAAGAATTCGAAATACAACATATTAAAGTTCATGTTGCTGGATCAAAAATCTCCATTTTTTTATAATCAATTTCTATAACCCTTGCAAAAAATTAAACGAGATTGTTTTGAACAGGATGGTTAACAAACTAGAATACAATCTATTCCTTATAGTTGGGGATTTCAACTCACATAATCCTGTGTGGGGTAGTGCAAAGATAGACCAAAATGGGCACACAATTGAAAATTTCACACATGACAATAACTTTATAATTTTAAACGACGGAAGAGGAACCAGAATACATCCACGCACTGGGAAAATGTCATGTTTGGATCTTAGCATCACCTCCCCCAAACTACATGTATCTTGCCTATGCTCGTGGGAAGTTTTGCGGCACACCTTTGGTAGTGACCATTTCCCCATCTCCACCCAGATATTATTGGACCGAGCAGGGAAAGTAAACAGCAACAGCGAGAAGATAAATGAGGAAACAACTTGGTCTTTTAAAAATGTTGATTGGAACACTTTTGCCGAAAAATGTGAACATAAAATTGAACATAGTGGCAACTATTCCGACCCTACGAAAATGTATAAATGTTTTATGAAAAGTTTGTCAGAGACTATTAAAGAAATAATGCCCCAGAGGGGAAAGAAAAAACATGACCCTGTACCTTGGTGGACAAAAGACTGTACACAAAGTATCAAAGAAAGAAACAGGGCTAATAATAGATTAAAAAGACACATTTCAATAGAAAATCTAAATACATATTTGAAGAAAAAATCAGAGGTACAAAAAACTCTACGCCAAGTAGAACGAAATTACTGGCAAGAATTTTGCTCAAGACTCAACCGCTTTGTACCAGAATCAGCGGTATGGTCTACCATTAAACGGTTAAAGGGGGTATCTGTCAAAAAAACAAAAAACATGTCAGTCCTGATAGAAAATGAAAAAGAAATCACATGTAACAGTGAAAAGACTGAGGCTTTCTCTAAGTTATTCCAATCAATTAGTAATGTTAAAGAATGTCCAGAAATAAAAGAAAACAAAAATGTTGAGCAACAAGTCACGAAATCACTGAAGCGGGGAATGGAGCATATCTTGAATGAACCATTCACTCTTTTTGAATTGCAAAAAACTCTAAACACAAGTAAACAATCAGCTCCTGGAAAAGACAAGATCCCTTATCAGGTTTATCAAAAACTTCCTCAGAAAGCAAAACAATATATGCTAAAGGTCATGAACTTGATATGGGATACGGGTAGCATACCTCCCAGTCTGAAACACTCTATCCTAATACCTGTGTTAAAACAGAATAAAGACCCCCGAAAGGTATCGTCGTACCGACCCATAGCACTTTCCTCATGTTTTGCCAAGATACTAGAACGGATTGTGAAGAATAGACTCCAATGGTATGTAGAAAAGAACAATATACTTCCTCCCCTCATGACTGGCTTTCGTAGTAAACGTGGGGTCACGGATAACATTGTACTTTTAGAGAATGCCATCCAAAGAAGCATTAATGTTGGTGAATATACTTTAGCAATCTTTCTCGATATTGAAAAGGCATATGATAGACTTTGTATCAAAGGCCTTATTTACAAACTATCAGTACATGGTATTACAGGTAATATGCTCGAGTTTCTCTATAACTATCTGAAAGAGCGGACTTTCCAAGTAAAGATTGGTAAAGAAGAATCAAAATTATATGAAATGTACAACAGCCTCCCCCAGGGGAGTGTCTTAAGTCCTATATTGTATAATATCATGATGAGTGATATTCCAACAGATGAATTAATCACCACATCTATTTATGCTGA